AAGACAAAATAACTTTTTAAAACTTTAATTTGGCTAGAAAATTTGCCAGGTTTTGTTTGCCACAAGTCCAAAGACGACAGCTTGAAATTTATCAGTGACCTTCTGATGAAGGGTGGTCATAATGACTACTACCCTATAAAAGCGTCTATCTTTCGGTCAAGAATGTTCTTTCACATTAAAGAATTTAATAAAGTTTTAAATGATCAAAGTAATCGTAAAAGAGAATGGAAAAAATTGCTTCTCAGGTTATCATTTATTGTTAATATTAAAATACAGCAAATTTATCCTACAATGATTTCTGAATTCTATGAGGAGCTTTGATTGTTTGTGTGTACATGTATAAACTGCATCAATAATCCCCAAAAACTTATGTCTGTGAATGACGATTTATTACTATTCTACCCTCAACTTCGAATACATGTCAGAACCGATATACATTTTCGAGTTGTTCCATTCTCAAGGACCTAGGGGAATATCTCGATAAAGTTGATCACCCTACATGCTTACAGCAAATATAGGAGCAAGATAGATGTGCTATTCAAAATAGCAAATAAGGGCACTGAAAATGCAAGTTTTCGAGTACATTCATAACAGAGATCATGAAAAAAGGTTATTGGTGAAATGGTTAACGGATATAAATTAACTGCACGGATTTAGAAGATATTCAACCAACATTGTAAAAAAGTGAGTAAACCAATTAAATTAATCGTGATTCGGTGATTAAATGTATACTTCTGTGTTTTAGTATGCCCATAAAATATCTTAAGGCACAGCTTTAGTGACTTAATTATCGGTATAAAACAACGTGACAATCAATAACCATTCGTTTTATCTAAATTATAGGTATTAAACGTATCCGCTTTGCAATTGCTAAACTAGACCGGTTGGAAACATTATGTAGATGTAATTCTCATATTCATGGAATACCCAGTTTCAAACTAGGCAAAAAAATATCTGGCCTGATATGAGTTCATTGCAGAAACATTTTTATTCATCGCATTTGAGTAATTTTCTGTCACCGATGCAACGGTGCCTGGCTATTTGTGATAATTTAACTTCGCTCAACAACATTCTTCTCTAATTATTCGCTAATTGTCATTCCCAGTATTTGCTGTTTGTATTTACTTCAAACGAAATCCCTTTAGATTGATGTATCCATTCAAGTTGTGAGTAAATATAGATACATCACTAAAGTGAATTGAAATTAATTTTGATTTTAAATATTTTGTGGTCACTATAGATGCTTTTTTCGTATTGTTTTCAAAACTTCTTGCATCCCTGATGCCTTGGAACATCCCTGAATATCGTGTATTGTTTTTTCATCATCTTGATCAAAAATTGCTGACACCAATTTTATTTGAAAAACACATGAGGGCAACTTCGAAGTTTCCTTTTTGTTCTAGAGAGCCAAAACTGATAAATGTGTTTAACATGCGCATTTTTATAAAACATTGTAACTAAAATACGATCCTTAGTTACGCAATAGCAAAATATTCACCAAAAGCGATTTTTCAATCTCGTAAATACCTTAAGTGTGAATTACGAGTGTTGGTAAATATAGTCGACGCATAAACATTGAACGTCAATCAGCAAAGTTAGATTTCGAAAATGGTTCAATGACGTATTTGAGTCGTTATTTTTAAAACCTAGTATAAATATTCTGAGAATCTATTCAGGTTAACCCGTTTCTTCCATATGGATGTTGAAAGATTTTTATGAAATTCATCAACAGTTTCCATGTTTATAGTTTTTGGACGGGACTAGATTCACGGTTAATGTAACTTCTGAAACTTACCTTATCCTGGGGTTTTCAGGTTCATGTCCAGGACTCCAGTGGCTGGAAACGTCGTACAATAAAGATAAATTAAAACATATACAGGGTGTTTTAGAAAGACATGCCAATATTTATAGGGTAGAAAGTACATCAAAAAATAACAAAAAGAAGTTCCTATACATATGGCTCCAAAGATGCTCCCCGCCGAGATATAGGCTGATTAAATTTTATTTACGAAATCTAAAAAAGAAATATATCTATGGAGCGGGTAAAGATACTGGGCCATATGCATAAAAATTAAGTAAATGCTCATAAGCATAAGGTAGAAGGAAAAGCAAATGCTCAGAGCAAAAGGTAGAAGTAAAAGTATTTGCTTCATTTAATATGAATAATGATTACCTTATACTTGCAAGCAAATGCTTCATGAAAACGAGTAAATGCACATGTCTAAAATATTGGGGGCTAGAAATTTTGCGTGTTTAGACCTGCAGTTTACGCAGTTGTAGCGACGTGCTGGACACATACGGTTATCCAGTGTAAAAAATGTCGTCATCTGAAGATGAAGCTGCATGTGAAAATGATAGTAAGGTGCAGGCGCTGGACTTTATAGCAAATCAGGTCAGCAAATATCCAGAGATCCATAGTAAATCACAGACGCCTGCATCTAAGAAAAAGAAAGAGGATGCGGTAAGAAAAATATTAGAATTATATGAAAGTGTTATGGGGCAGTCCATAACAACCGTACAACTGATGAAGAAAGTCAATAATATGAAGGCACGCTTAAAGAAGAAGACCGATGTAAGAAAAACCGGTAACAAGCCTGTTAAACTTCTTCCATGGGAAAAAACCTTGTACAACGCCATGGATGGAGCTCAAATCCAAGTGTGGCGAAAATAGCAGGTAAGAACAAGAGTGGATAATAATAAATATATTATGGTGCAAGGGCGTATTCAGCTTTGTTCAATGGGGAAGGGGGATTCGTAACTTTTACGAACATATTAGTATTTTGAGTGTCTTGACTACGGCAAACTTCAAAGAGATCAGTGCTACGGATTCATTTAAATAAAAAAGAAATTGTCTTTTGTTGAAACCGAATCAAAATATTTTTATCCGGTTAACAAATTTCTGTCGTAAGAAAGTATTTTATATACAAAGTGATTTGTGATACATGTTAAAATGTAACTTCAGCGTGCATTTTAGTGCTGCTTGTTTGTTCTTTATTATAAGATAGTGGGTTCAAGCCCCCCGTGCCCCAGCACTCCTGGATCTGCCAATGGTTGTCGTCAGGTCTACTTTATCAATTTTTTCTTTCATGGCAGGAGCAAGATCATATGGCACGTCCTCTCCCAATACATCCTCTTCTAATTTGGATCAATCCGAAAAAAGAGCTACGACTGCTACTCCTCTGCCACTGCCTCCACGTCGACAGCGAGCAGCAACTGCACTACCAGGCGAGACACAGGAAACTGAAAAGTTGTCCAACGTAGAGCTGCAACGGTTAGTTTTGCTAGAACAGCTACAGACTGCCCGAGTCCAAAGATAGTATTATGAGAGAAAATTGCAAAGGGAAGCCGTGCAAATGGTACACGAAAACGGAAATACGTATGCGAACCTATGATGGCTGGGTTCTGAGAAGGGGCGGGAAATTTTTACAGCAGTCATAAAGGATGCTTTCTCTGTTTTTTTTTTTCTGGGACATATGGTTGATTTTAGTAATGTATATCGTCGGTGATACTGCAATATGTCGTATGTCGAAAAGAGGTAATTTTTCAGGAGAGAAAGAAAACTGTTTTTCTCGACCAATTTTAAATTTGAAATTGCTATTTTTTGTCTACTATGTATTTTTCTATTAGGGTATTAGTACTTAACTCGATTTTTTTGTTCAATGGAATATTAAGCAAAATGCCGTTACATACGACATATTGCATTGAAAATGGAAATATTTATGTCACATACGACAATTTTGTAATCCATTATACATCTCACAAAAATAATTTTTAACAGTTCTATTCTTTTTATTTACGTAATGAAAAACTAAACAAAAAATTCTAAACAAATATGTAATCTTAAAATAAACAGGAAAGAATAAAATATATTAATTTTTGATATGTGAACAAACTTGGTCAGACTTGCAGCTGTGCTTTAAATTGTCATAAAATCCATGGTAATCTGATTCGATGACAGATTTCAATTCTTGAAGATGTATGAATTTTGTATCCTCAATTTGGCGAGGAGATAAATATAGAGGTTCGTGAGAGAAAGAAGTTCTAGTACGACATGGTCTACGTGGCAGTTCGAGCCATTCATCCGAAAAATTTATTTTGTATTTTATTAGTCCTTCAGGAAGATACTGCAATGCACAAATGTCTGTAACACAGGGATCACCTTTTTTGCTTCCAGGTCGAATTTGTGAATACATTCCTTTTTTGTATTGCAAAAAATCGTTGAAATGCGGAGACACTACTTTATAAGGGGATGGGTTTTGCCTGGCCGCTCTTATAATTTTATTATAATCGGCGGGAACAGCTATATCATTTCTTCTTCCCAGCTTTCTCTCTATTACACTATGGACTGAATCCACCTCCATCTGGGTATGTCCTACCTCCAGGTACTTTTGTTCAATAATAATATTTTTTTCCATGGCTATCTCCAGCAAACCATTTGACAAATTCACATTTCTGTTTTGGTAGGTACAACCGTCGCTCCATAGGATTATTACCTTCGGGCTCTGCCTTTCTATCTCTTCATTAAGAAACTTTACTAAAATGGAAACAAAAACATCGCTGTCTAAACCTCCATTTCCCTCGTGCCATAAATAACAAGACACATCTTTGTTATTAAGATTAAAAAATGTTTGGTTGTGAACCTTCAGTTTTTGTTTATAGTACATGGCGGAGGCTTGGGTAAAAGGACAAAGAAGAACAGCTTGTAAGTCCATAGTGTAGACATACTTTGAGTTTCCTGCCTCTGATGAGATAGCTTCTTGTTTGTCTTGCTCTTTTTCTGACCGTGCCTGTTCTTTCTTGGCAACGTGACTATCGTAATCTGCTTGACTTAAATTTCCCTTTTTAAACTTCACGCATGTGTTGCACTGGTCCTTACGAGGTGTATAAATTTCAAGATTTCTTGTCTTAAAAGTTTTATAGAAAAGTCTCCAAGAACAAGATCTTAGGTTTTGACGTTCACAATAGTTAATAAACTCACGATGCAAATGTCTGTAACTATTTCAAGTGGGTTCCAAATAAAGTTTCCTAGTGGATGCTCGACAGTAGTGCGATTCAACTTTAGGCAAGCTGTCTAAGAATTGATTAACATTTTTTGTGCATTCGGAATCCTGAGGTGGCTCTACTAAAGCCGGTTCAATACCTAGCTCCATATTTGGTAAACATTTGTTTAAAACCCATTCTCTTACACATCTTTCTCCAATACCTAAAGTGGCTAAAAACATTTTCTTGCATACGTGATATTTTTTGGTAGACTCTGGATTATCTTTAGTTATTAAATAATATTTAAACTCTGTTTTCTTTCGAGACTCTTCTTCTGCAGTGTTTCGTCTTCTGTGTTTGGGCTGAGAGTGCAGTACAAGACTACTTACATAAATTTTTTTACCTTCCCAAGAACTAATTTCCCAAAAAGATTGAAATATTTGATTACGCATTTCATTTGTAATTTGCAAACATTCAAATTTTTGTTGTGGTCCCTTAGAGTCATTTTTGTGTCCCCCACATGACGGCTTTACTTTGCGCTGAACTCTACAGACTGTTTGCTGGTACTTGCCTCCAGTATTTTTCTGAAATCCCATGTATGCATGGCCTTTAAGTCTCGCTTGCGAATTTTTTGCTCGTTTCCATTGCGATGGATCTCTTTGCCCTTTACTCTTACGTTTTTTTGTTCTTCCATCCGGTGTCCGACGATCTTCTTGGTTTCCACCTCCTTGGTTTTCAACGTTTTCGTTTCCTAAACTATTTTCTGAGTCAGTATCTGTTGGCAGATACTCGCTGCCACTTTCCTGAAATGGATCTGGTTCTGAATGTCTTTCAGTATCTGAAGTTGCATCATGGACCTCTTCTTCATCTGCTACAACTTCTTCCTGATAGTCAATTATTGGTACAATACCACTATCAGAATCTGTGTTTTGTTCCAAATAATATAACTTTTCATCAGTTTTGGAATGCGATGTTTCTTTTGGGATTTCTGCCACTTCTAGGACTGTTAAAATTGGATTATCTACCAATTCTGCATTTCCTAATAGATCTTGAACTGACACTTGAACCATGCTCTCTGTTCTTTGAGGATCTGATGCATCGTTCAATTGGGTCGCAAAATTGTTAATGTTATCGTCTTTGGGCACTTGGTGAGAGGCTACTGCACTAGATGCTGAATTTCGAGCTAGTTCCACCAACAGTCGCGCTCTGTTTGACATTATGGATTCACTGAAAATAAAAAAAAACAAAGATGCAATATGTTGTATGTCAATACTTAACAAACAGAAATAATACTAAATAAAAGCTAAATTTGGAATGTAAAATATCGTATGTCACACAGTGTTCAAAAAAATCGATTAATTACTACAATAAATCATATCATTAAAGAGAAAAGGAATAAATAACCTACGTGAATTTTACTTGCCGTTTTGATATAATATATTTATTCAGAAAAAATTAAGGTTATACAAAATAATATTGTTGTTTTTTTTTGTTAATTATGGTATTTCTTGACTAAAAACTACAAACACTATAACGTTTTTGTAGTTTAAATTAAGAAAATAACAACAAACTCACCATGTAAACTCAAAAAACTATCACAAAACTCACATTTAGTTGTTACTGACACGTTACTGCTTGCAGCTAACCTAAAATGTATAATAATTTAAGTGACATACGACGTATCGAAATATCCAATTGTGTAGCGTTACGACATAGACGGAGAGCATGATTCTGACATACGGCATATTGAAGTATCCAGTTTTGTCAAGAAAAACATACGACATATTTGTATGTGTAAACAATCAGGGTACCTGTTCAAATTTCATATACAACATTTTGCAGGGGCATAGAGGACTGTATTTTGGTTACAATGGATATATAAACAAAAAATTGCAATTTTTGTGACATACGACATATTGCAGTATCACCGACGATATGTAGGTTCGAGGATCACAGAAACTATATTACTCTGCAATGTATTTTTATTCCAAGTTTAAGATCAATACAAATTTATTAGAAACACATACGAGTAGATCACTTATCACGGTGCGTTATAATTTTGAATTATATTCGCTAAAACTTCACGCACTTCCTGACCGCGGACACGTAAGTCGTCATTCTCTTCCTCATGCCCACTAACAACATCGCCGGCGCCGTCTTCATCTTCATCACTACCCTCAAAATCTGGATCCTGCAAGGCCTTAGCAATGTTGTGTAAAATGATACAAGCTACAATTATATCTGGAACATTAGTCAATTTCACGCGACAACAATATTTCAGTATCGGAAAGCGCCGTTTTATCTGTCCAAAACACTGCTCGATTACTACCCTTTCCTTTGACAATAGTTTATTGTATGCCTTCTTCATGTCTATGTTGACAGGTTCTCGATAAGGAGTCATAAGCCAAGGTTCAATTCCGTATCCCTGATCAGCAATGAGAACGGTGTTCTGTGTACGTCGCATTACTTCTCTCACGTCGGAATTTTTCCAGATTCGACTGTCATGTACCGAACCCGGCCAGCTCACATCCACGCTGGTGAATACGTACATTGCATTGCACGTAGCTTGTACGTTCAAAGTTACTTCTCCTTTGCGGGTTGTGTATTCTTCCCCATGTAAGTTGGGTTTCTCTATTTTCACATGTGAGCAGTCTAGTGCTCCAATAGCAGTCGGAAATCTAAACCGGCTTGCCCAGAGTTCTTTGGCTTTCATTATATGATGGTGACTTTTAGGAAACTGAATCCAACGATTAGCCTGTAGAGTTATTTTTTTTACCACATCTCTCACAGTGCGAGAAACAGTGGATTGCTCAATGCCTAGCTCTTCGCCAATTCCGCTTTGGAAACCTGGATTTGCCAAATACCTTAAACATACTTTCATTCTGTGTAAAGCTGATAATGCACCACCACGCCTTTCTACACTCTCGCCTAGAAAGTTCTGGGCTAACCATTTCACATTTTCCTCTTCAAACCGGAACATACTTTTAAAATCACTAGTTCGCGGTGTACCGTGCCGTGGTTTGTAGTATTTCATATTTCGAAGATTCATCATTTCAGCCATTTTTACTTTTAACCAAACAACCGTGCAAAAAACGTACGGAACCACTAGCAGCTCTGATGCTACTGAATAGCAGCATCAGTTTTCCATAAGTAAATACTCGCACTTTTGAGCAAAAGGTTGGCTTTATTCATACGTTTGAAGCAAATCCTTCAATATCATGAGCACTTGCTTCTTACTTATAAGCAAAAGCATTTACTTATAATTTTATTCTTATCCCTTGAAGCATTTACTTTTAATTTCGCAAGTATAAGCATATGCTCACTTTTATTCATATGGGACACTGAGTCGGGATTGTGAGCACATCATCAGCAATAAACACAGTGTTTTCCGGCCCAAACTAAACCAGGGACGTAGAAACTGGAGTACCTGGACCCCTAATAGGAAATATTTTCTACGCAACTGGTCTTTTCGGAGAAAAGAAGTGCATTTTATAAAATACCATCCAATTTTCCATAAATTTAGTCTCAAGGAATTTTTGTCAGATCATTCGTTTTAGAGATATTTAGGTTTGAACATTTGAACTAAAATCCTAAAATATTGAGAAAAGGTTTAGCCTCCCCTATTTAGAAAACACCGTTAAGATTGATATTGGAAACACTATATGACATGTGAAGAAAGATATGGCACCTCATTACACTATTAATTGAATAATATGTGTGTGTGTGTTACCCTCAATCAGTAGCTCACCATTCATTAAACCTTGTCTATTCACGCCACTAGTTTTCATGGTATACTTCTCCTGGCATTCCCATGTCAGATGCTCCTGTTTGTCTAAAATCTCAACCAAAAATTGTGGAACCAATCAATTTGAGTAAAATTCTTATTATTATACTTGCGAAATTATCGGCCTTTTTCCTCAAAATTATTTAGCATTTCGGATTAAGTGAGCTCAATAAGAAATCACAAATCGTAAGCAACCTCGAACACGAAGTATGAAGACGAAGTCATAAGGCTTTCAACACTGTTCGGTTACTGCACCAGGCGTTTTACAAACAGTCAGAAAGCCTTTGTGGCGCGCATGCTCATGTTGAATCCAGAGGTGGTCACTTTCAACACCTCCTTCAGGTTGGATGATTGCTTATTTTCTTGATAGAAATGTTATGTCCTCATAAATTAGAAATAACCACGTAAGATATATGTTTATTGTTGTCGTGTTTAGTTTTGATGAGCTTTATTTATTTATTTTGGAAATGAACGTTTTCTTTGTTTTGAAGTTTCTTTATCTATAAACAAAAATGAATATCCGGCAAAACCAGTGGCGTCCACAGGAAGGGTTTAATGAATGGTAAGCTTCTACCCTACTGATTGAAGATAAGACACGCATATTATTCAATTAATCTGACAACAATTCCTTAAGAGTTATAGAAAATTGAATGACATTTTATAAAATGCACTTCTTTTCTCCAAAAAGGCCAGTAGCGTAAAAAATTTCCTACTAGGGGTCCAGGTACCCAGTTTCTGCGTCCCTGGTTTAGTTGGAACCGAGAAGCTCTCTGTGTTTTGCTTATGATGTGCTAACAGAACGCCGAAAATATTCACTCAGTATTTTTAACCGCTTCCTAGATATATTTTTTTTCAAATTTCGTATATAAAACTTCATTACCTTGTATTTCTGTAGGGAGGAGCAGCTTTGGCCCCATATTTATAGGAACTTTTTTTGTTATTTTTGGATTTACTTTCTACCCTAGAAATATTCGTACGTCTTTCGGAAACTCCCTGTATGTGGTTTGATGGAAACAAACTAAATGATTAATGGAAACTGCATTGTTATAAATATTTAATTTTATCATAATAATTATGCTAATAAAACTATTTTTTTTCAGGTAAGGCCAAGCTCAGTCAGAAATGATAGTTGAGAAGTATCATCAATGTCGGTAAGTTTCGCCTTTGCGAGGAATACATTCCTCAAACATATCGCATTTGAATAGTTAGACAGATACCTCTTTGATGTTCTACTTTCCGTAAATTTACCAAAAATAATTAGAATTATGTTTCCCCTTATTGGTACCATTTTTTTTCCATTGAAAAATGTTTCAGGTAAAATCGTAATTTGTAATGAACTTCTAAAAGTAGTTATGCACTATAAAAGATGTGACTTTATCCTTGTAAAAAAAGTCTAAACGTCATCACCATATAACTTTGTTAATATATATGTAAATCCAATCAAATATAAAGCAAAGTCACGCATCGTAGCTTGTGAGATTTGTGTCTTTGTTTAGTAACTTATTCTCTATGTTAAAAATAACATTTGAAATTTATAGTTACTATTTAGCGTTCAATTGATTATTCGGATGTTCTAAAGATTTTCTTCTTTATTTTGAAGATGTTGCGTGGTATTGCTGTATTTCTGTCACGACTATGGCTGCTTTTATCGGTTTAGAAAATTGTAGTATCATTTTACTTTGACGACACTAGCTTTTAATTCAAGTCTAGTAACACTATCTCATGTCAAACAGATTGACAAGATGGTGTTTATGCATTTATTGGATTTGATCGGATATGTCACGTCGCAACTGTGGTTACAATCTTCAAGGGAATTGTCTGTATTTAATTTTACATGCAGCATGTATTATGTTGGCAAGGTTTGTCATAAATCGTGTAAATTAATTGACCAATAATAAAACACTAAATAGATTTATAGTTAGGCTACTGTTAAAACTGGTCACAGCCATAGGTGTCACGATCCTCGAATCAATGCAGCATCGTACTTAGTGACAAATTATTATAGTTTGAGATCGGCGAAGCTGATAAATAAAGTGTTTGATATATTTTCGAAAAAATGGAATGAAACCGAAGTCATAATAATCCACCTCATTTTTTTCTTTTGTCACAGAATAAGATTGACGTGCATTTTTTAAGAAAGTTCTTGCGTAAATCGAACTATGAAATAGGGACACGCCCTTCCTTTTTCCGAGTGAGAATAAAGCTTAATACATAGTTTCAATTTACAAATATCGCAGAGGGGTTATCATTTTCAACAGCAGAAAACTATTTAGATTATAATAACAAAATCTGATGTGAATGGTGAAGTCAATACAATGATCATATTCTAAAGTAAATCCTGGTAGGTACTGGAAAATTGATAGTTGTCAATGCACAGTTGACTCAAAATTATCTTGATCTTAGACTTCACTGTCTTTTATCATGATGACCCACTCTATCTATTGGACCCTTGTCCGAAGCATTTAGATGTAGTTGTTGTTTTGGAAATCAAGACTAAAGTGGCATATTAGCACTATGCTAAACTTCGCCCCAAATAAAGACGATTATTATTATTAAGCCCGTTTTTCGTTAGAATAAAAACGCAGATAGACAACTGATATACAAACATGTCTGAATTTGAGATTTCTAATCTTAATAATTCTTGTTTTCATCTCTGATTGCGAATTTTTCTTGAATAACCAATCGCACATGCAATTCACCGAAAATAACGGTTCGAAGCGCAAAAACTCAGCCTAAACGTAATTCCATTGCTGGCACTTGATTACAACAATCAAAATCTGTCAATCGTAACGTGCAAAAAAAAACTCCTGAACGTGCAGCGTATCACGGCTAAAGTTGCTTTCTTTCTATCTGGTCAATGTAAAAACGATGTCTGTTGAACGGAAATCGAGAAATCAGTCACGGTGCTGATATTTTGTTTCATAGGGGAGAAAATATATGTTTAGTTACATCCTATATATTAGCGACAAACTATATAAAAATTGTCCGGGTCTCACAGATTGTCTCTTGATACCGATATTTAAAGTCTCGTAACTTATTGTGCTTTCCAAAAAGGTCCTCTTCCCCAATTATTTCTTGAACTGGTCAATCTAGCAGACTGAAATTCGAGATAATGAAATTGATGCACGGATACTATATTCCAGCGTAAAAAAATGTGGCCATCTTGAGAAACATTTTTGTACATGCTTTCAAATGTATTTTCTCCAACCGTTCGTACACGCGAGCGAAAAAACGAGAATAAAATGGTCAGAAGGAACAACCTGTTTCAGTTAATTAACTTGAAACTTATCCTGTGGTTCTCATGTTGATAGGGCTCCATGATTATTTGGCCACTAAATGAAACTACATATGTTTGAATTACTTTTTACTATTGATATTTCGACCAAAACGGTAGCCTTTTTTTCAAAGTACAAATGAATTGTCACCTTTAGGATATATAAACATAAAATATATTATGAATTGTACTTTGAAAAAGGCCACCGTGGTAGCCGAAACATCACTAGTAAAAAGTAATTCAAACATATGTATGTAGTTTTTAGTATTATAGCTTTTGTTCGTCCGGCCACAGATGGCCAACCATCGACAGCTGTTTCGTGCTATTTGACAGCTCTTCAGCATGGTGCAGGCTTGGTCTCGATGGACAACGAACGAAAGCTGAGCAACTCTATTCAGAATCGTCCACTGCGAAAGCGAAAACAGCAAGTTGTCCGTTGGAACTGTATCTTATTTGCTACGGTCCACGAAACAGCTGCCCAACGAAAGCTATATTGCTAGTTTGTTCAAAGGCGACTAGACAGTATCTACTATAACGCCACAATCGACGGCATCTGGCGGCAACAGTCTGACGCGACTGACAATGCGAACTGAGTTACAGTTCCAACAGACAGCTTGCAGTTTTCACTTTCGCAGTGATCGATTCTGGTAATAGATGGCACTCTATGATGTCCTATTTTGATATGTAGTTTCATTTAGCAGCCTAGACAATCATGAAGTCCAATCTATGAACAAAAGTTTTGGCTGGGAGGTAGTAGAAATTGTATTGGAAAGATATATCTCTTCAACTGAAAAAGTTAGCCCGTCACCCTGTATATGCGATGGATCAGAGTGTAATTGATAACAAAAAACGATATGTTAATTTCATTCAACAATAATGTAAATTAAAGTGTAGCGCCAGGCTGTGCAACTTTCTAAAATAAGTTATTCTAATTGCCCAGCTTTTAGAAAATAACGAGAACGTCTGTCGGTGTGTAAAGCAAAAGCAAAACAAAAGTAGACTGCAGAATCGTTTTCTATAAATACACAAAACAGCAGAACAGAAACCATCGTTAATTATTATTATAAATATACACATACAGGTCTGGTGCATACCCACTCGGTCCACTGGCAACTGCTCTAAAAATAGTCCATATCCGTTTTAGTGCACTTCACCGGTGCATTACCTGTAGGTTCTGTTCAGAAATATAAAACTGTATACTATAAATATACAGTAATGGGCAAAAGTATATAGACAAATTAATATTGTGCTGTATTTCTTTTTTAACTTGTTTTATTAATTCACCAACCTGCATACATAATTCGTTATAGCATAATACTCACTTATACATAAATAAATTCATTAGACTTCCTTCAATAAAAAATTAATTGAAAAAACTGGAACTATGGAGGACAAAAATATATAGACAAAGCAAAACAATTATAGAAAAAAGAAGCAAAGCTCATTGAATTATAGAAAACCAACCATGTTTGTGTTAATATTTTGTAGCACAACCATTATTATCAATCACTGCCTGGCATTGTCTCGGTATAGATTGTAGAAGTTTCTTGATATAAGATTCATCAATCTGTCTCCACTTTTGCTCTAAAGCGGCAAAAAGTCCATCCTTGTTTGTAAAATTTTTATCTCGTATTTGCTTATCTAAGTATTCACATAGATTTTCAATGGGGTTTATATCGGGAGACTGTGAAGGCCATTTGAGGACTGGTATTTTTCATCCAGAAATAATTTCTTTGCGAGATTTGGAGTGTGCTTCGGGTCATTATCTTGCTGGAAGACTGATCTTAAGGGCGTATTGTCGTCCATATAGGGTAACATGACATGCTTTAGTATGTCTGTGTATACAAACTTATCCATAATGCCATCTATTCTTTGTAAAGGTCCCATCCCAAACCCCGTAAAGCACCCCCAAACCATAACAGACCCGCCTCCATGTTTGACAGTGGGCAAAGTGTACTTGGGGTTCATTCTTTGTCCACTAGGACGTCTAACGTGATGAACAACACCATCTGATCCAAACAAATTGAACTTGGATTCGTCACTGAAACATACCCTCTTCCAGTCACAGATGCTCCAATCAAGATGCAACCGTGCAAATTGTAATCGGTCCTTATGGTTTTTCCTCGAGATTAGCGGCTGCTTACTCGGGCGACGTGCAAATAACTTTAAATCATTTAATCTTCTACGTATAGTATATAGTTATCATAGAAACACTGACAATTCCTTTTGTCTCGATTTCGGCTTTTATTTTTCTTGGGGTTTTAAACGGATCTTTGGACGAAATTACTTTTATTAATCTAACTGATCTAGCATTTAGTTTTCTACGCCGACCACTTCTCTTAGAGGCTTCCAAGATACCTGTTTGTTTATATTTGTTCCATAGTGACCAAACTGATTTAAGCTTCAGCTTCAAATTTTTGGCAAGGTCGACTTGACGTTGACCATCTTTGTATAACTCAATGATCTTAGTTTTCACATCGAAAGAAATTTCTGGACCACGCGGCATGGTGTTAAAATCACTCAACTTATTTATTCCACAATACTTGACGAACACAAACTAATCCTCTTCTGACACGAAACTGTACTAAACTAATGTTGAAAAGAATTTGTCTACATATTTTTGCCCCTCATAAAAAAAGTGCTTGTATTCAGACTTGTAATATGTTCATTGGAGATAATGTAAAAACAAGAAATTTAGTTTTTCTAATAATAACGCACATTTTTATTTAGCAGTGAAGTATGAATTCGTTTTCTAAAGGTATTTAGGTAAATATTCACATTTGTCTATATACTTTTGTCCATTACTGTATATATATATATATATATATTATAATGGTCGTTGAAGTTTTAGAATGAATATGGGTTTTGTATAGTTTGGTTTTTCACAGACTACATTTATTTTAGAGAATGGGTTAATTTGGCTTAGTGCAGTATTATGTAGAATAATCGCTATGAAAGCCATCTGATCGTCATAATCGTCACTTGTGTGACGTAAAAAATTATCCTGTATAGAATGAGATACTGTAACATCATCTATAAAGTTTGTCATAGCTGTTTCTCTATTTACTATGCAAGGCGTCCTCAAAGTTGGGACTTTAAAGAGCGTATAGGTCAGGCAATGATAAGCATGTTTTTTTAGTAAGATATATACTAAAGCTTTGAGATAACCGAGACATTAGGTTCCAAAAAGCTATAAATAAATTAGTACGACTCTGCCACCCTCCCCTCCCACAATCCTCTCCGACGTCAAAACGTATGATGTACTAAGACTAAGTGAGTCAGTATCCAAATCAGGCGTGGTGTTTGGTTAACTTAAAGGAACCGCATTTGAAAACCCGAAATTGGCACATTGCTAATATCTTCAAGATCTTATTGATACTTCCCGAGTGTACTCAGAACGTCGCCTTCGTCCTCGATGTTTCACTCCATCAGAGCTTCATATGTTCATTTATACTCATATCGTGAAAATCCGTCGGGTTGAACACAGTTGAAGACCTAAACAACCCCAAATGTGTCATTTTGAGAATTTTCTATGTAAAAAAATATACCCGGAATAATCACTTGACCTGAGGCTCTGAACTTATTTATTGTCTGAGGTCCCAACTCTCTATTAAAATCTATTCTCCACTATAAGTTTCTATTTCCAGACCTTCAGTTCCCACAACCCGGTTGTAGTAATTCCAAATAGAAACTGCCAAACAATTCCAAATTCCATTTTTAGCCACCACCTTCGTTTTCATACCTTCATTGTGTTGCGATGTTTACACTGAACATTAATTTCAAACCCCTGCCACCCTTCATCCTCGGCGTAGAACAAACGCATACAATGCAGTTCCATTACCAGCCAGTCGAACAAAAGAATAACGAAACAATTTAACCCTTTTTATCAAGTGAGCCATGCAATGGTAACACTGCGTACCAAGCGGGCCATGCCAGACAAAGCGGCTTTATGGTGCGACGTTGCCGCTTGGTTCAGGGATGAAAATGCACTCGAACAATATTTATTCATCATTGTTGTTAAAAATGGTGTTTTAAAATCTTAATGAAAATGTTGCTCTGAGGCTTTGTCAATCATTGATGGACTGCTGGATTTTTCAATAAATTTCAAAGCGCATTATCTAGCGTCTAGTGAGACTTTGAACATACGCAACATACGCAAAAACCTGTGAAAGTGATACATCTAGCGTTTTATTCAAACTTTAACATCACGGTTGTAAAGCGTAACTGAAGGCTTTGATATTTAGCCAAACATTCTTAAAGCTTCGTGAACAATAAAGAAAGCTAATGTTCTTATTAATACGCGATATCCTGCTCAAGATGGAGGATTATGACTACATCCTGTTTCGACTATTTTGACTAGCCCTCGTAAGAACTTTTTTATTTTCGACGTCGCTTCTGCTTTGGTTAATCTTATAAGTTATGATAAGTATGGTAACTCTAATAATAGAAATTGTTCGATTTCGTTATGGAATCGTAGATTACAAAGTTCGGTACCCAGTCATGGCCAACTCAAGAACCGCTCACTGTGATGAACGAAGGTGGGGAATATTTGGCACTTGGCAGTATATTGTATTAAGCCTCCCAAATTCGACGATGTTCAGGAGTTTTTAAAGGAAACGACCCGCTCCGTAACAACGTTCAATTTATTCTCTTCTATTTTATTACGAATGTAAAAATGAAAACGATCCGCTGCACAACAACGCTCGATTTTTTTCTGCCCCATATATCTACATGTTTTTGTCCGGTACCACTTCTGGGTGTACCTATGATTCAGCGTCTAATCTTCTCCCAGTGCCGTCCCAGGATACGCTGCACTATTTTTCCGTAACAATTGATTTATGTGCCGTAACACGTGATTCTATAGTTTCATAACACATCAAATGTGTTTCTCATTAGTTTTTGTTTTTTATTACATAATAATACCCGAAACATCCGATCAAGCTAATAAAAGACGGAATAAATAGCCCATAATAAACAAAAAGCCAGTTGAAGTAAAATATTGCACTTGTTTAGTGCTGTTATTCAATAAATCTGATATAATACAGGGTATTTTTTAAAACACACCGACTGGGGTGGCTTTTCACAGTTCTACTAATCATATCGGATTAGGAGCCGTGGCGCCCGAGTATTTAGGCTTCTTCCTGTGCGGCTGCTTCAGTATAAAAAACCTTGTCGGGGTACTTAATGTCCTAAAATGAGCAATCAATATGGTTTTTCTATATATTACTATAAAATTACATGTATAAGGATGCGATCCAAGAGCTTTGTTTACAATCCAGATATCTACAAATAACTGGTGAATGTATGACCGTGGCCTTCATGTTTTTTAGAGGCGGTATTTGTATCTATACTAATTCAGTCACTATTTTTTTTACTAAATTCTTGACATCTTGTTAATGAATAGGTCAATGTGTCCCCCATTTTGTTTTACTATAGATACTGTAATGGTAATGGCTGCCAATAAAAATATATATATTTTTCCAATAGGATCCAGAATAGGTTATCGTAATATGTCGTATACGTATTATTAATAAAGTATAACTGTTGTAATATTTGAAATAACAAAGCCACCGTTGTAAATTTTGTCCATTATTTTGCGTTCAAGTTCCGATCAATTATCCATGTTTGTTTGGCCGTTAATCGAAACTGCATATGTAGGATTTACTGACGTTTCGGCCACCTCTGTGACCTTTTTCAAAGTACAAATAATTTAATGGTCAGAAAACGTTATCAGCATAAAACCACAGGGTACGGTTCAAATGGCACATTAGTATCCTCAACAGGTGTAAGCTCGTGGAGAAAGCGTCCCGTATTATTTATACGTTTTCCGGTAAGCAACAACAATTATGAAAAATGTATCAAAATCAAGCAGCTTCAAAAACGAGCAGTACAGAACCATTCACGGACCATCCCATCTGTTCCCAACCAATAACATCCACATAAAAAATACAAACAACATATCATATCGTTGGATTCTCGGAATCGTCAACGGCGTGCAGTGTATACGAAAATATATCTGTATCGCCGACGTTTTTGGTTCGCGTAGTAGCTGCGAGGAGATACGAGATGAGTCAGCAACAGCCATTATTATGGAGCATGTCCGCGGGACCGCGAGTAGTCTACACACGATGCGGCGTGGCATGTCATGCCTTCGCCTTGCCGGTCTTGCGAAAACAAGTGCCTGTCGCCCCGCCAACTTGCGGTCGCTCCTCGCGACAGGCCCATTTCCATTTCACATACGTGCTCGTACCCAGCAACAGAAAGCATTTCAACATCTATCGTCCAACACACTTTTCCCATAGGATGATAAGGAAAAATTGTGTATTCATTTGGAATTTCCAGGAACACTGCATACGAGGTCTGTAAATGAGATGAGACTGATTTTTTAAATTTTTGTTTAAATATAATAATTTTATATTGCCACCCTCAAAATACTTCCTTCAGAATTGTCTTCAGCAGGTTGGTTACTGCCTTTTAAATGTTTTCGACTGTCCCGAAATGAGTTCCTTGAGGTGATTTTTCCCGATTATTCTGTCTGTCAACCGCACAATATACAGGATTGTGTCGATATTTCCATCGGTTCTTGAAGATGCAAGCCTTCCGCTTCGTGGTTCATCTTCAATCGACTCTCTTTCTTCTGAAAATGCCTTAAACCATCGAAGAACCTGGGCTCTTGTCAAAACACTATCTCCATAGGCCTGTTTAGCAGGAGTTTCCGTTGCACTGTGCCCAAGTCTGAAGCAAAACCTGATAGCACACCGTTGGTTGAAGTTAATGCCAGTTTTAGAACACAATAGAAAAAACTGTTTTACAAAAAAAAATCGCTGTATTAACTCGGAAGGACACTATTTGAAATAAAATAAATGTTTCCGAAAACAAAAAAATTGTTTATTGTTCGTTTTTTCTTTGTCCTGTTTAGTTCGCGACAGACATTGTAAAAGCGTCCAATGGCGCCAATCCCACGATAACGTCACAGATAGTATTTTTGCAATTTCCTTATTTGAGGAATGTTCGAACAAGTTTTGAGGTAAAATTAGAGTAGTGATAAAAAAATTTTCTTGGAAAACATGAGCGGTGACATTTCATAACGTCCTCAATGATGTAGAAATTTAGAACCATATCTGGACGGATTTTTGCAGAAATGAACCAACCCAGAAAAACAATTACTGAGCAATTAGGGTTTAAAGTTTTGACAATGATAACAAATTCATTTCAGACCAAACACGATTTTAATGAATGTATGTCAAAGACTTTAAATATGTGAATGGATCTTTTTTACAAATAATGGTATTGCTCGTAATTGTTTATTTTCCTAAAATCTAGACTATTCATATTTAGTGGGTTGGTTCCTTTCTGCAAAAAGCGGTCCATCTCATCTCGTATCTCTTGTCGTCGAATACCTGCGCTACGCCTGGATGATGCTCCGAAAAGGCAAAAGGCCAAGCGGTGTAACCTACTACAATAAGCTTTGCAGACGTCTAAACTAGTAAAAACGTTTGGCAAGGGGCTGCGCATTTATACAGTAAAACCAGGTAGCCATTACGGGCTGTTTTACTGCCGTTTTACTGTCTTTACTGCATGGTTTTATGGCGAACATAAAACCCAACAGGCACTGAGGACGTACACAGCCAATCGTATTTTACCACGAATAAAAACAAATAAGGAAATACAGAAACAGAGTTGTCAACTTCGTTCTAACATCTCTGCGGAAGACATTCTGCAGTGTACAGTAAGCACATTATTGAAGAGTCTACTATATCATTACTGTTTACAGTGTCTGAACAATTATAAACCATAAAGTTGATGATTTTTCCATGATTAACACTGTCATAATTTGGAACGAAAACTCGAGATTATGAAGGAGTATATCTTTAATACCCATTATAGGAAATATGGCAATTTGGCAACGATGGTATGGATGTCCGACAAGGAGTATGTCTGGAGAAAGTAGGTTCAGTGTTTATTGGCAAACAGGTTTGAGCTCAACCTGGGTTTCAAAAAATCTGAATGCCTTATTTGAATCAACGTTGTACACAGTTTTCTACACATGGCCAATGAAATGTGCCGATATTTAATATATTGATTATTTTTATCAGGTATTCCAATTGTTGATAAAACTAAACTACGATAGTAATGTTAAACGGTATTATGTTTATAATTTGAAAATAACGAGATTTGAAAATCCTACACTCATTATAACAATTATTTCGATTACTTTTACATACAACATGAACAGCAGAACTTGTTCGACCAGCTTTTTGACCAGAATAGATACCTACCACATACGCTACAAATTCTGTAGGTATTTTTGTAATAAACAGACAAGGGGATATACCAATTGATTTAAGTCTTATTGCATTGTTCTTAGATAAATATACGATAAGTACCGTTCGCTTACATCCAAAACACTTTTATTTTAATGTTTTTCTTATGTATCGTTGTAGGATGTTGAAGATCACCGTCATGTGCCTACAATCGCACATTGCAAAATATTCATAGTTGACAATGGCAATATCAACATGAAATTTAGTACAGCTGTCATATCAAAATGCAAAGTACACAATTATTGGGAAGAAGAGCGCAAAAGACTAATAAGTTTATCTGTAGAAAGTAATAAACAATGTTTATCAGCAATGTCGTTCCACCGAGCAGTGCTATCAGCTTGTTATCATGCGACAAACATTCCCCAAAGATACAAGTACGTAGACTGTCGGTTATGTAGCGAAACGTACACAGGATATTGCGTTTTATATGAAATGCCACAGTTTTCGAATTATTTACATATTCCACAAAAAATGAAATAACTGAAATCGGTACTTCTCATGGATTTTTTATTACGCGTGTTAAGGATTCATGGAGGCACAAACAATTATTGGAATTTTTAATATCTTTTCCGTGGTACTTTCTGACTTACGGGGCCCAAGGGATTAAGGGGGGAATGTCAACAGAAAACTTATCGAAATGGTAGTGTAGATCTATAGGAGCAAGGACTTTTTTGGTTAATTACATCGCCATTAGTCTAGAAGTGATATTAAGTGACATTGTTTTTAAGTTTAGTAATATTCTGGCTTCGGCGAAAAAATAATTATTCTTCTCTATGATTTTCGAAATACCCAGAAGTTATAATAACGAACAATGTACTTACAAATAGCCAACATAGAGGGAGTGAATTCCAATTTTGTCTTGAATCTAAATCTAGCGTACAGAAACGGAGAATATTTGCCATTTATTGAAGATAAATTATGTGGTGGACTGACATTTTTTATTTCTTTTGCAGGTGAGTTTGAGAAGGGCTAAGGGTGCTAAATGTATATGTAAGTAAGGATATGAAGTGTAATCTTGACGTATGTAAAATACTGAAAACGTGCATTAACGTTGCATCACTAATAAGTAACGACTATAAAAATGAATGTACCTCATTCGCATTAACTAACATGCTACCGCTGAGTATCTATACGTGCGTGCCTAATATCATTTCTACCATCTATGTTGAAACTGTCATTAAATGAACTTTTATTATGAAGACAAAAAGGTATATTTATAAGTGACTATATTGCAAATATCAATAAAACCATCATGTGAAAGGATTATAATTCACTATATGAATCACATATGGTTAGCGCATCTTGATATACCTACTCTTATGAAACATTTTAATCGATTCCTTCACCGATGGATACGTAAATGACTGCATTTTCTCAGTGACTCGGTTTTTAAACGTCATGTATTCAGACGATTTATAAATTTCCCATTCCGTGGTAAATCCCTACCAGGTTATTTCGGAATTTCCCTAAACCTGCGACTTTGGTCACAACGCGACAACACCGTCTCCAAACTTTTATTACAATGTCCGGCAACTATGCGGCTCCGCATGCAGCGGACCGCCTCGTCCCTGCGCATAGCAAAAGCGAGTCACGGAGAGAGTTGAGATGTGCGACTATGCGACGTTGCCAGATATGGCGAGTTGCGTGTTATTCGTTGACGTCACGCGCCGTGGCACTCCGGCTGATTTATAATGAGGAACGGGCGAACCTGCTATGCGGCGTTGCCATATCGGACGAGTGCTGATGTGGACGATGTTGCCAGACGGTCGACATTGAATGTCCCTTGAAAATATAATTGTATATTATACTCATTCACAGGTGTTTGTGTTGACTGAAAACAACGTATATTAATGAATAATTAGTAAACAAAACATGGCCTCTCACTCTTTAGATAGTACTTGTTAATTTTTAATATGTATTTATCTTTAGTATTTATTGTCTGAAATTCTACAATTTCGACTTTGTGCATTCAAAATACAGCAATTGATGATAACAATTAAACCCTATTACTATTGTGTGCTATACAATGTACTTAAACCTATTCGAATATGCACTGAACGTCAAGGAAAGTGATCACTTCTCATTGAAATAGAGACATTGCCAACCTCATTGCAAGGTTTGTGTATCAAGTTACTTTTTCGCACACAGTGAGGTTAATTAAGTGTAAGAGTAGCCATTTCGCTAAACTTCCCCACACTGTATTAATAAAGACATTTATTATTATTAAAAGAGGATAAACTGCAGATAGATCAATTCCAGCGTCATAATAAATAATCATATAATGTCTTGAGGACAATAATTGAGACGCTAGACTTTGTGTAGCTATTTAGAGGTCTTACAAACCTTTTTAGCTCAACGTTTTAGGAAATACCATGTCATCTTGATGGTGACCGGATATTATGAAAATTATTATTACATGGAGTTACTTAATCAATACATATACAAGGTTGGGACTTGCCTTTACAGAGCGGATAGGTCACGGAATAATAAGCAAGTTTTCTAGTAACACATACCAAAACCTTAAGATAACTGAGATGTTAAGTTCCGAAAAACTCTAAATTAACCGGTTCAACCCTGCTTCCCTCTCCTCCTACGTCAAAGGTGTGGTACTATGATTATGTGAGTCAGTAACAAAATTAGGCGCCGCGCGGTGTGTAGATTAACCTAGTTTAAGAAAAAAGCGCTTTTGAAAATCGAAATGGCACATGCCTACAACAATAACACTTAAGGTTAGTTTACTGTGAGCGTCTTCAAGATTCTATTGATACTCCGCGAGTGTATTCGAGTATTTCAGAACGTCACCGTCGACCTCGATGCTTCGATCGGCGCTGCATAGGTTTGTTGATATCATGCAAAAGGCGTCTGCCTGGATACAGCAGACGACTAGACAGCCCTAAATGTTGCAAATTTAGGAAGAAATAAACAAATTCGTGCTTGTAAGCAGTAACAAACGTGTTACAGGGTAATACTCGAAATGCCATACCATGTCAGTATTTTTAATCAATTTCTTTTGTACGTTTTCGGTGCTGTTTTACCGCCAATGAACTTTGTTAGTAGTTGTTCCTAAAAAAAAGTCCCAACTTTCAGGACCCCCTGTATATCTCCACTATACCATCTGATAGTCTAATTTTTCATCAGCTGTCTAAAATATGTATCTCTACGTACCTACCAAAGATTATGTATGCCATTCATTTTGACTCATTGATGACTAGTAGGATCATTTTCTTGATTTTCAGAACCTGGCATGAGGATGAATATAATGCTGCTTGATGTTTCTGCGTAGTTCTTGGGATAATTTCATTTGCAATCTTAGTTTTATGGCGCTTGGGGCCTAATATCCTAGAGTCCGGAAAATGACGAAACGACCCCTGCACCACGACCTCAACGGAAACAGAAAAGCGAATCACGCAGAACACGTAACGTTCTAGACTAGAAGAAGGTATCTTGAGTGGCATTGAAGAATATATGTTTTATAGGAAACCAACTAACGGAGAAAAACTACAGAGTTTTTTGCTGATCGTCAACACCATACTGAATCGCTGAGAAAGAAAGATATAACACGAGTGGAATTTATACATTCAGTAAACTATAAAATTTGCCAAAAGAAAATCATTGAAAAGGGTTTGGCCTAGGAATGGGCACTCAATTATCAATGAAGAAAAATTCAAATTACGGATAAGTGATAAATAGTAAAAAAAAGGTTACGTGATTTTGGCACGTGACAGTATTTACCAAACTATTAAAATAAAATTGTAACAGCAGACGTAACGGATGGCACAGACGCTCGTGCAGATTGCAGGGTTTGCTTTTAGTCTTAAATCGTCAAGCAAGATGGATTGTGGGGGGTACCAAATCACCTATTTTCGATGTCCCGTTCCGTCAATTGATTGGCATGAATAAAATCACCCAAAGGTTGAATTTTGCATGCGAATCAACTTTTTTTAAAAAAGATACTGTGTCTTGCTCGACAAGCAAATTGTACGATTTGTATGGTCTGTACCATCCTTAAAAGAACACCAAATTACAAAAAAATAGCGTCAAGCAGATTCATTCCGTGATTCCCATACAGAGGATCATATTAAAAATTAGATTTTCGATAGATCCCTGAGCCTATGAAGTCTTCAATCTTAAATCTATCAGGATCAGAATTACTAAAATGCAGTTAAGGTCTTTAGTATCTTTTAAAAAAGTATAGATGTCTTAACAAATTAGTAAACCATTGTTTAGGTAATACTTTTATATCCCTGTTGTTTTTTAGATGTAGGTTTTTAAAATTAAAATAATTGTTAACGCCTTGTCTATTTTAATAGCTTTTACTATAAATATTCAACGTCATGTAGCTAAAAATGTACTAGCCGGGCAATGATAAGTTGAAAGTGTTCGACCTCAATGGATATATTCCCCCACGCACAAGCATTTTTTGCTTTTTGTGGTGTTCTATATGTTTATTGCGGAATATGCCATTTTCTTTTGCTCCGAAATTGTATTTTTTCTGCAATAAACATTATTATTATTATATTCAAAAATCACTACGGTCTCCAATTTTTATGACACTTGATAAGTTCAAAAGGACCAACAGAACTAATATTTAAAGAAGGCGGGTCAACAACACAAGTACAGCCCGGTGTTGCCAATTATAGATTTCTGTAGACATTAAACCAAAAAGCAAAACCTTGTCGATGGTTGAAAATTCAAGAGGGAGATATGTTTGAGCTCCACTCGGTTTTGAAAATTAAAGAGTGGGAGGGGAAGGAGCATCTAATGCTGAAGTGCTGCTATTTAAAAAAATTAAGAGCAGAGGGTTGCATCATGTCCCTGTAATCGAAAATTCCAGAGATGGGGAGCTCCAAATGCTGCTATTCAAAAATTTGACGACTGCAGGGTTGCACCAAAGCGAAAAGTGCCCTATTCTTGTGTTTCGTTGAATCATATCAGAAATATTCTATTCGAGATTTTAAGAAATTGTTCGGTAGATTTCGCATTAAAATCGGTACTTCGGTGGATTATGAATAAACTCGGAAGATCTCCGAAAAATCGGCAGACCTGGTAATACTGGTACGCCTAAAATACAAATTTGTGCACATTTCGCGCACATCGAAAAGTGTCGCAACATTAGAATCATTTATTATTCTTCCTATTCATTTACGTCTATCATTCGATATCTAGGATTTTATGCTGAGGTAGTGTAGACTAATGTTTTAAAACGTGTGATCAAAACATATCTTCAGCTTTTCATAAATCTTCATTTAGCAAATTCTTGAATTTTGGCCGTGTTTAGAAAACAGTATTTCTGAAAAATTAGTACTTTCACACAGACACTGTACATTTACTGATAATGTATGTGAATCAAGGTGTGAACTATACTTTACATAAACTAGCAAAAAAATGCGGTTACGCTGATCACTATTCAAAAATGCGCAACGTGTTGTTGAAATCTTTTGTTTAAAGAAAAACTATGGATTTATGTTACGTTTGACGGCGGAAAAAAGATAACGTTATGATTGTATTCTTCACGGGGAATTCCTTCATCAATTATTTGGTTTCGCGATACTTCTCGGTTGATTTACAAGTGGAATGAATATTTTTGTTTTAGCCAATGACGAATTTTTCGTGATAGAGCTTTATCATTCGAAAACAATTTTCAAATCAGGAAATAACATTGTTATAGAATTATTCCATTAGTTTCTATAAAAATATGTTTCCGTTTATATGAAATTTAACACGAATTTAACTTTGAAGTTGAGTCATTAATTTTCAGATAATGATTGTAGAAGGAAGATAAACCAAAATATGCGTGTAAAAATAAAAAAAAATTTACCTTGTTTTATAAAGTATCCTCCCGACAAGTATTTCAGTGCGGACCTGTATTTGATCGTGAGGTCTTGGAGCACCGGCATGGCCTCCCCTGTGAGGTCTTAAGTCACCTGATTCACGAGCCCGTTGTACTACATTAACAAAGGCACGAGGGGTTGGTTGCACTCGATTGGGAAACCGATCCGCATAAACATGTGCCATTTTTTATTTCGTTTGAGCCACGCAGCAAACACCACTATTCACTCACGCGTTACCGACTGACACATTGACTGAATAAAAACATCGTGATCAGCGTTTCAAATTCTTTCGCTTTTTTGTTTCCGATGCGATGAACCGATAAGGCGGATTATATCCGTTGTTGCCAAAGACGGGCACATAATATTATTATTGAGACAGGGCGGTACTCAAACTTCTAAAGGGCTATAACTTTGTTACTTTAATTTCACCACAAAAATGTTAAAGGAAAAAAACATTTCTTTTGATCAGATCTACTCACTGTTAAAATAAATGACTCAACTTCGAAGTATAGTATTAATCATATGGCAAAATTTTTTGTAAAATTTTAACATTTAAACTTCCATAAACTGGTTTCAGAGTATATTTTAAAAATATATTTTGATTTAAACGACGGATGGAACGGGTGAAATGAAAACATATTTTGTTAATTAGTGTACATAACTAAATCAAACTTTTTTGTTGTATTTGGTTGACGTTGTCTTCTTGTGGAAAGTATCCCAATTTATGTCTATACTTTTTAAGTATTTGTAAATAGTATACAACTGTAAATACGTCTCGTTTTTTCTCATTTCTCGACAGAAATTTGCTCGCAGTTCCTCGCTTTTTATCTCGTAAATGGCGTGCAAACAGCATGCCTACATTAATGAAAAACAAACATACTCCAATTATAAACGTTCATTGTCCCGCACACAGTTTGCTCTTCGAGGTCTTTTGTTAGTTCGCTCTTTCCTCTCTTGAGCGCTAATCGCTAAATTGTCCGTGTACAGGGCAGCCATTTCCAGACATTCCACCAAATTAGTACAAAAACTGTTAGGATCGAAAGCCTTGTTCAGAACATGACAGTAGATTAGGAACAGTCAGACTACTTATACTGAAAGTTGGGAATTTCCTTTTCAGAGTCAAATACGTTTGCAATACCAAAACTAATTTGCGGCAAAACAACACCGAAAACGTAAAAAATAAGAAAAATACTCACTCTTCATTTCGTAAGGAAAAACACGATTTTGTTTACCTCTTCCTAAAACTGCAACATTCGGGGCTATCTAGCTCTTCATCTGTGACTTTAACCAGATGGCTTTTGCCCTATATAAACAAACATATGTAGCTCTGGTGGAAAGAAACATCGAGGACGACGGCGACGCTCCGAGTACATTCGCAGTGTATCAATAGATATAGTAGTATCTTGAACTACGTCGTTGCTTTAGTAATGTACCAATGTCGGTTTTTCAGATGCCGTTTGTTTATGAATTATTTCAACCTAGACACCACGCAACGCCTGATGGTTTGTATACTAACCATTGAGCACATGTGGGATACATTAGGAAGAAGGCTTAGGCAGTACTATGGAGAATTTCAAACTGTGGCTGCGTTGGAACAGGCGATGGCAAACGAATGGGGGCAAATACCCCAAAACACGATAGCTAGAGAGGATGAGATCTGTTATCCAAGCCCGGGAAGGAAATACTCGTTTTTGATAACAATTTCTAATTACCAATGACATCAATGTAATTTTTTAAATTAAATTGTTTATCGCTATGATTCGCATGATTTTCTTTAAAACATTATATATTCTTCAATAATTGAGATATTGACATGAATCAAAAAAAGAACTGTTGAGAAAAGATGAGGCTTAAAATTACCATACGATGACACATTATTCAGTAATCCAATGTTTCCACAGGGTGTTCAGAAATTTAGGGCAAAATGCACCTTTTAGTTACAACCTGTATAACAACAAAAATTTCATTTTTTTGCAAGATCAGCAGTCGATAATGATAACAATGAAATTACCTACAACTTGACGAAAAAATAAAGAAATTGATGCAAAAATTTTGTTTGTCCGGTTAATTTTGCGTGGCAGTGTATATGTTTTGTACATTATATTATATCAAACTCATTCAAATAACAAATTACGTATTTTATGTGAGAAACTGAGGGAACAATTTGGATTCTGTATTCCTATAATAAGCCCTCTACTATATACAGGGTGACTTTGAAGTTGAGTCATTAATTTTCAGATAATGATTGTAGAAGGAAGATAAACCAAAATATGTGTGTAAAAATTAAAAAAAATTAAAAAAAAATGTTACCTTGTTTTATAAAGTATCCTCCCGACAAGTATTTCAGTGCGGACCTGTATTTGATCGTGCGGACTTGGAGAACCGGCAGGTCTTAAGTCACCTGATTCACGAGCCCTTTGTACTACATTAACAAAGGCACGAGGGGTTGGTTGCACTCGATTGGGGAACCGATTCGCACAAATCCGTGATGCCGCGGCAGCATTTTGTAAATAAGAATCATGTCCACAAGTTCAGCATTTTCGTAAACATGTGCCATTTTTTATTTCGTTTGAGCCACGCAACAAACACCACTACGCGTTACTGACTGACGAAAAACATCGTGATAAACGTTTCAAATTCTTTCGCTTTTTTGTTTCCGATGCGATGAACCGGTCAGGCGGATTATATCCGTTGTCGCCAAACATGAGCATATAATACGAGTATTATTATTGAGACAGGGCGGTACTCAAACTTCTAAAGGGCTAAAACTTTGTTAATTTAATTTTACCAGAAAAATGTTAAAGGAAAAAAACATTTCTTTTGATCAGATCTACTCACTGTTAAAATAAATGACTCAACTTCGAAGTCACCGTGTATAGAAAGACGCAAAGTACCTCCTCAGCCTTACTATAGATAGTATATATACATTTTCACATGTTAAGAAACTTGTTTAGCCACAAAGTTAATCACTGTACGTATTCTATTTATCTTCGTTCTTGCCGGCAGTATTCTCCCAGAGTGGGCAAAGGGCGCTGGAAATGAAAGCCCTGGCTAGTTTTCCCCATTTCTCCATCTAGCTATTTGTCGCAACGTTGCGCAATTGTTTCCCCCTGCCCATTGAACCTCCTTTCCACCCCCACCTTTGATTGTTCTCGAAAAGAAACTTCATGAAGTTTTTTCATCCAGCCAACAATCAACGACGTCGTAGAGGTTCCATAATAACACGACCCGAGTGGACCTGATATACACTGTTCGGTGGCAGGAAAGACCGTGTTTCTTTACATAGCACTCGACTTGTTTGGTCCGTACTCTTAATCGATGAGATGTGGCAACATCGTACCGAAGAGTGGGGCAAGAAAAGTGGGGATGGAAATAGCGCCTGTCTCCGAGGCACCGCTGCTACGCAGAGACTGGTAGGTCTGGTGCACAGTGTTGCCAAGCAGGGCGACTTTTTGAAAATTCAGGAAAATAATTTGAACTTTCAACCTATAGATTAATAGATATATTTATTAATATTCGTGAAATAAATGGCATTAATAGTTATTCTACTCCAATTTCAGTAGTAGAAGCTAAGTCTAAAATCAAAACCTAAAAATAAAAGACAGGTGAACATAATGAGACTTAAAATGTTAGTGTTTAATGTTGTTGCCAAATGTTTGAATAGGTACTCTTTATATAGCAACTATGTACTTCCTTCATAATCTATTAGTATATTATATATATTAATTGATCGATCAAACGAACTTACCTGAAGTGAAGTTCGATCGTAATTATACGAGGGTCCAGTCCGAAGACATCACTTTGTTTGTTCACTATGTAGTCCGCCCCTGGAGTACGATCCGCGCACCAAGTTGAAAGACGAGAATCCCCACCTCCTCGCCGCGCCCTGGCCACTCGCGTTGAATCATTTGTTTAAAGAAATGGTACTTGCTCGCAACTTGGGAGGGTTGCATATAGGGTGGGGGTGATGTCTTCGGACTGGACCCTCGTATAATTACGATCGAACTTCACTTCAGGTAAGTTCGTTTGATCGATCAATTATACTTTGGGTCCAGTCCGAAGACATCACTTTGTTTGTTCACTATGTAGATGTTTAAAGATGAGATAGAGTTGCGAGCGAGTTGATGATATAAAAAATACAAGTATACAAACACAAAAAGGCAAAAACATATATTCTGCATTCTCATAAACAAAAGCAAAAAACAAGGGGTCAATTTTTAACATTTACCCTAATAGTAATATTTTTTCAAAAAACAACTAGAGTACCTAAAGTACGTCACAAACTCTTAAACTGTTCTAACTAATCAGGCATTTATGTCCAAAATGGCATTTGCAAACTCATTGTTGGTTTGTAAAGGACGATTATAAAACTTTGCAAATGTGGAATGTTGCGTCCAACCAACTGTTTTACATATACTATCTACGGAAACGCCTTTTCTTAACGCCGTTGAGGTAGCCGCATGTCTGACTGAATGAGGCGTAAAAAGTGTTGTGTTGACACCCGCCGATGCAAGAGTCTGTTTTACCCATCTGCTTAAAGTGTCTTTGGACGCCCTGGTATGTGGTTTTTTATATGTCACGAATAGAAAATCGATGTCGGGTTCTCTCAAGCTAGCTGTTCTGTCAATATATTCCTTCAGGATGGTGGCTACGCACAGGAAAGGGTTTTGTTGAAAAACCGGTATATGCAAGGTTGGTTGAGGTTTCCCAATTCGACTGGTTTTAATTGGGTCTGAAATATTAATGGTAGTTTCGCTGGGACCATGGGAGGTATGTGAAAGACGAATAAGAGAAATTGTCTGGAGTCTTTCTCCTGTTATTAGAGCTAATAACGTTGTCAATTTTTGTGACAGACTTTGGAGGCTAAGTGGAGATGGTAACTTTTCTAGATAACTTAGGAGAGGTATAGGATCCCAGGTGGCCGAATATTTTGGCCGAGAAGGCCGTAAACGATGAATGCCTTTTTTGAAGCGTCTAATTATAGGATTGGATGCTAAATCAGTTGAGCAATAACTGACGGAAAAGTGGGTACCAAGGTTGTGAAGGCCACCAAGGAACCACCAAAAATTCCGACAGCCTTATCCTGAATTATTTTTTGTAAAACTCGGAGAATTAAGGTAAAAGGGGGGAATGCATAAAAATAAAAACTGTTCCAGCGAATTGTAAACGCATCGATATATGTAGATCCTGGATCTCTATGCCAGGAAGCGTATACCTCGCATTTCGCATTGGTATGAGAGGCAAAAAGATCGATCTCTGGTTTTCCGAAGATGTCGGTTAAATGGTCGAAGGCAGTTTGAGATAATGACCATTCCGTTTCAAAATTCAAGCTCCTGGACTCATCGTCTGCTATAGCGTTATCTTTAGATGGGATGTATGATGCAAAAAGCCAGAGATTTCTTTCCTCACACCATTGCCAAATTTGTTTAGCCAGAGAACATAGCTCTGGAAACCGAACACTCCCCATTCTGTTAATGTAAGAAACGGCTGTTGTATTGTCGCATCGAATTAGAATGTTGCAATTTTTTAAAAGTTTTGCATAACACTGGATGCCGTAAAATATAGCCCATAATTCCAAATTATTTATATGCAATAGTTTTTGGGAGTCGGACCAGAAACCGTGGGTTCTATCCTGGCCAGAGCAAGCCCCCCATCCTGTTAGCGATGCGTCGGTAAAGATGGTGATATGAAAGGAATCATACCTTATGTCATTGAAAGTTGTTGAAATGTGATCTTTCCACCATGAAATATCGCTCTTTATGTTTTCAGGAATAGCCATACTTGCGTTATAATTTCCATTGTTTTTCTCTAAAGCTAAGAATTTTTCCCTTTCTAGAGATTTGCAATAAAGAAACCCGTATTTCGCACCAGGACAAGCCGACACCAAGGTGCCAATGAACCTTGCCCAGTCGCGAATTCTACATCTCGATTGGTTCAAATAATATGAGGCTAACCTGAGGATGTGATTTTTCTTTTCGGCAGGAAGTTCAATTGTTAAATTAACACTATCTATCAGAAAGCCGAGGAATCTTATACGAGTAGTGGGTACCAGAATGCTTTTGCTGTTATTGATGATAAGACCCAATGAGCTTAAAAACCGAATGGTTGTGCTAACATTATTAAGGCAGGGTTCATAGGAAACTCCAAAGATTAGAAAATCGTCTAAATAATTGACTGTAGAGATGCCTAAATTGCGGAGAAAAGAGACGACTGGCTTCATAAGCTTTGTGAAACATAACGGAGCTGTACATAACCCAAACGGTAGGCAAGTGAATTGATACAATTGGCCATCAAAGTAGAATTTTAGAAATTGTTGATGGTCGCTGTGGACAGGTACTAAAAAATACGCATCTCTCAAGTCGATTGTGCACATGTACACGTTTTTATGAGTCAATTTTATAGCCGTACGAAGGTCCTCCATTTTGAAATGCGGGCATTCCACATATTCATTTAACTGTTTCAGGTTTAATATAAATCTTTTTCCCCCGTTGGATTTATCTGCAAGAAAATATGGAGAGATAAATTGATCGGGCCTTGACTCAGATTTGATTATGGCCCCGGACTTCTGCAAGTCGCGTATAGCTACTCGAACTAGCGATGTTTCTGTCGAAGAAAAATTATTTGTGCCCAAAGGTTGACGTAGTGGAGGTGTGCATTTAAAGGGAATCCGGTAACCTTGAATCCAGGATAAGACTATCGGATTTGAAGTTAGTTTTGACCAAGAGTTGAGGTAAAATTGTAGCCGACCAGCAAA